TTCTCGGCCAAACCTCTAAAGGTCCCCACACACCTTACGATAATCGTACGATAATCGCGGGAAATCCAGCGATCGTACGATTATCGTAAGGTGTGTGGAAGCCGTGCAACCTCTACTACTGTAAGGTCGCATGACTTTAAACTTACGGACATGTTTCAAAACCCGCCGAGCATCGTACGATTTTCAGCGGGTCTGTAGCATGTTCGTATGATAAAAGCCGGACGGGCCGTTGTGCGCAAGCATACACTGCCCATTCGGCATTGTGGTCATCGGAAGCCCGCCCCTCAGGGGGCATGGCTTGCGATCATCGCAAGTACGATCTGCCTATGCAAGATAGGCAGATCGTACGTTTTTTAAGTACCTTACAACCATCGCAAGACAAAAGTCTTGCGATGGTTGTAAGGTGTGTGCCCAGCCTTACGTCTAACTAAACCGGAAGTCAGATGGTTGGAGAACTCGAGGAGTTGGAACTTTCGATAGAACAGGGGCCCTGAAGGGAAATCTTTTCCTATTCAAAAGTTGGTTCTTGTTTTCACTGCACTGCATGGCCACTAGATGGAGCTAAGGAGCATAGGAATTTCCACAACCCTGGATGATGCCTGAACAAAGATGGCTCTGTCCTTCCGGAGAAAAAGAAGCAGATGAAGGTGTTGTTAGGAGGAGCGCTGTGTTCTCTGTGAGAGGTAAAAAATATCTGGAAGTGTTACGCTTAAATTAGTATTGAACTCTGAGACTTAAAAAAAAAATAATGAATATAAACAAGTATATATTGCCCAGCAAAGTATGTCTATAAATTAAGCAGGGGAATGTCTTGCCTTGCTGTACCTGTGTGTTTGTGGGGACACTGCAAGGAAAAGGAGCCACCCTAAAACAGGATATCAGGGACAGAGCTAAGGGGATCAGCTGATTCTGCAGGATGCTAAAACTTTTAAACATCAAGAAGCTGCATCCATTGTAAGTGATTTCATCAGCATTTGAAATAGCTTACAAAACATTTGACCTTTAATATCACTTTAAACATTATTTCATCTAGGTGAACCTAACATACAAATAGGTCTATAGGTCTTCTTTATGTTACAGTCATATATGTGCGGCTCACTTATTAGTACCATCCACAATTATCTTAGATCATCTTTTAGCCTTGCTGCAGGCAGGTGATGATGCAGAGAAGGTAGATAGATGAGAGCGAGAGAGAGAGAGAGAGAGAGAGAGAGAGAGAAAGAGAATTGATATTTATTAAAATGCTAAAATGCATAGATAATAGATAGATAGATAGATAGATAGATAGATAGATAGATAGATAGATAGATAGATAGAAAGATAGATAGATAGATAGATAAGAGAGGGAGAGAGATGGAGAGAGACAGACTGTAGATAGATAAAGAGAGAGAGAGAGATGATAGACAGACAGACACAGACAGATAGATAGATAGATAGATAGATAGATAGATAGATAGATAGATAAGAGAGAGACGGAGAGCGAGAGAGAGAGAGAGTAGATAGATAAAGAGAGAGAGAGATGATAGATAGACAGACACAGACAGATAGATAGATAGATAGATAGATAGATTTAAATACAGATATATTTATTAAAATGCAACTACATTCAAAACAGATTTCCTTATTTGTGCAGGGTGGGACAGGTTTGGGTTCCCCGGAAGGTCTTTAATGCTGTCTAGTGATCAGGGAATTTTAAGAGATAAGCAGCAACAGTCTGTGAGTAGATCCACATCAGGTTTATTTGACACACGTGGGTGGGGAAAGGCTCTAGTTTATACAGTTTATAGATAAAAATTAAGCTTACATCATTGTTCAGTTTAACAGAATTCGAAATACATCCTAAATCAGCATTGTTTGTTCCTCACGTACACATAGCAAGTGTTTAAGTGTAGATAAACTAAAAATTCTTAAAATGGCAATTTCTCCAAACACTTTAAGATAACAGCCAACACCCAGAATGTCATATCATTTACTTCTGGTGGTGTGTCTTATCTTATACCATATTTACTTAGAAGATACATTTCATAATATGTTTCATTATGCATAATATTACATAGACAAAATGGAGTCCAGTAATGTAATTCAGCAAAGATCATTATTTATCCCTACACACTAGCACCCTGGCAGGGGGGCTCTTCCCATGCTCACTACAATAGACTTGTACAAAACAAGCTTCGGCTTCCCCGCTGTACATTTAGCTCTGCTTGCCCAAAGCAGGGCTAAATGTAGAGAACAACTACCCACCCGGTGCCCAGAACTGCATGTCCAGGCATCGGGAGATAGGAATTCCCCACCCCTGCTGCCCCTCTACTCCCTGCTTCCCCTTGGTTGGCCTTGTGGGAAATCCGGCCCTGCCTCTGGTGGTGGTGGGGTGATCTAAACCTACTCAGCTCCACTGTAAATGGGAAAAAATGATCTCTGATGTTATGAAAGGAATCCGTCTGTTAACGCTTTCCCAACCTCTGTGAAATATCCACCGCAGCTGGACCCGCAGGCCGGTAATGGCACTTTAATGAGTCAGACAACAGATCAGTCAGATACAGATGCCTTACAAATTGGGAGATAACGATGCTCTGACATCTATCACTGGGGCTACTTTTTAGAAGAAAGGAACCTGGAAGTAAATCTCGCACTAATTACAGATTATTAGAAAGAGTCTCTGTTCTCTAAACATCTATGCTGTGCTGTTGGAACAAGCCAGCAGGGAAATGGAACCCCTTAATGCACTCTAATTGCATGTACGGTGTCAACTGAATTCATAATGATATTACATTCCTTCTCACTTTCCTGGAGACGGTTTTTCTAGGCCCTCGTTCATATTATGCTGTAACCCATTAAATATAGCAAGCCTTCGAAATGTTAAAGAAGAATTATGAGGTGAGTGATTTTCACTCAACCTCATAGTTCGAGCCGACGTGTGACAATGAAACTGTCACACGTCGGCTCAATAGATTGGAAAGTTAGCAAACACATACCGTCACTCGCTCACTTCTCGATCATGTCCCTGCAGAGTGGTGACTGTCCCTCACGGCTCCCTGCAGGGATTCCCCCCCCTCCCCGCTCCGATCTTCCACTGTTGACTGGCGGAACGGACGAGGGAGGGGGCGGGTACAGCTGGCTCTGCCTCTAGAAAGGCAGATGATTCTGATGAAGGGGGCTTGCCCCTGAAACGCGTCAATCTTGGCTGATTGCGGTCGGTGGCTGGTGATGTGACCCGAGGCTACCATGTTACATAGTCGGGGGGATACCATGTTGGGTTAACAGACAGTGTGGCCTCTCGTTTGTTGTTAAAGCCTGATGAAAACGTTTGTTTGTGAGTACCTTTATCCCTTGTTTTATTTATTGTAATAAACGATTTTACACACGGAGGTGGCGCTCTGTTCCCTTTTGTTCTCTAGAAAGGCAGAGCCTACCGTTAATCACGCAGCTGGGTGGATCTCGACAGTAATGTCGGGATCCGTCCCGGCTGCGGCGGTCTCAGTATACCGCAAGCTGTAGCTCGCGATATACTGAGCTTTGGGTCACGGGAGGACGCTAGTTTATGTCCTCCTGTGACCCTTAGGAGCACTATGGCGGAAAAACACTTACCCCATAGTTCTCCTTTAATTCACCCAAAAGTAATATGATGAGCTGAGACAGGCACTTCTTATATGCCTTGGATGCTCGAGTAGTAAACTCTTCCTGCCATGTCTGTGAAGGTTCTCATTTATTCAAGTAAGTGAGTGTGACTAACTACTAACTAACTATTTGGTATATCTGGATTTCGTTAAGGCTTTTGATACGGTACCTCATAAAAGCTTACTACACAAGCTAAGACAACACACACACACACACACACACACACACAATAGGTTGGACTTGATGGACATGTGTCTTTATTCAACCTCAAATACTATGTAACTATGTAACTACTATTAGCTATTCCATGGATGAATGAGGTTCTCATTCATCCATGATATAGCTAGTAGTAGTTAGTAGATAAGCCAGGTATACATGCTTATATTTTCTATGTTCAACCTACAGACTGGAGGAAGAAAATATAACAGATTCCTCATTCTTTGGCGTGGATGGATGAATCTCCTGCTATAAGCTTTGTATACCAGCTGTCAGAATACCCAAGCGGTGCTTCATCGTTAGTCGAAGAGTTTCCAATATGTTCCTTCGGCAAAAGTTGATCTACTGGTTGACTTCTGCCGATGGAATAGGGTACACACGTAGCAAACTTCGATCAATTCCTCCTCAATTGGCCAAAATATGCTCCATGTGTTTCCTACTTGAGTCACAGTTAACCTGACTAGTTCTAAAATGTTGAAGATGTTTTATAGCTTCTCCAAGACACTTCTTTAGTTCCATTAAGTATCAAGAAGATACCCCAACATTTATATTCACACAGGCGGCAGAGACACCATAATCCAATCACCATGGAATGTGTAGATGTTGATTGTCCAAGAACAGAATGGGAGGTGTGAACATTGTGGAACCACCTTGTTCTAGGTACATAATCCCATCTTTGGTGTCTGTAAGAATGGATAGGTATTACTTCCTTGCTTCACATAGCTAAAGGTGTGAATTGTTGTCAAACCACCAGGTTAAAGATGTTAAAATGTCATCATATGTGGAAGGCAGATGCTGTTGAGGGCCCCCACTCATGTTCAGGAATAGATGTTCTAGTTTGATGTAGACAGCCTCTTTCACACTTCATATGAACCAGTTGTCCTCTGTGTCCAAAATGTGCACTTCACTGTCCTACTGACTTTCTTTTGAGGACAGTGAGTTGCACATTTTGGACAAAGAGGACATTGGGTTCTTAAGCGGTGTGAAAGAGCATCTACATCAAACTGGAGCAACCATGCCAGATCAGGGATGGGGGCCTTCAACATCATTTGTCTTCCACATAGAATGCCGTTTTAACATCTCTACCCTGGTGATTGACAACAATTTACACCTTTAGCCATGTAAATTAAGAAATTACCATCTATGTAAACTTCCTGACACCAAGGATGGGATTATGTAACTTGAAGGAGGTAGGTGAGGCCCTCGATGTTGTACGTGATTATGTCGGAGTGTTTGAAAATGATGGTGTGGCAAAGAGAGGCAACTTCAGGGGCCTGGTTGTGCAGCTGGGAGGAAGCCTGAGGAATAAGGTAAGTATACCGTGTTTCCCCGAAAATAAGACAGTGTCTTATTTTTTTTTTTGCACGAAATAAGACACTAGGTCTTATTTTCGGGGGATGTCTTACCTGGCTGGGGGAGGACCAGACGAGGTCCCGGAAGGCGGCGTGCTGTTGCCGGTCCCGGCGGATGATACTCCGCTTCCATCGTGCGTGCGTGCGGGCGGGAGCTGCGGCCGTCGGGCGTGTAGGCGGGAGCTGCGTCTGGCGTGTGGGCGGGGCGGAAGCTGCGGCCAGCTGCGGTGTGGGCGGGACTGTGGGCGGGCGTGTGGGCGGGGCGAGAGCTGCGGCCGGTCTTTAGATTCAAAATTCAGTTTATGTGCCGCTACCCCGAAAGTAAGACCTAGCGGATTTCTGTAATATAAGACCTACCACCGAACTAGGTCTTATTTTCGGGGTAGGTCTTATATTACAGAAATCCCCAAAGATAGCGCTAGGTCTTACTTTCGGGGTAGGTCTTACTTTCGGGGAAACACGGTAGTTGCTTTTTATGTTCCTCACAGCCAAAGCAAGCATTTAGTGGTGATTCCCCACTGCATGGCTTAATTTTTACTTTTACCGGTGTTTAGCTTGAAGCTCTTGGGAATGAAATGCATTAGAGGGAGAAGTTTGTTCAGGATGTGATGAGGATCATAAAATTGTTTGACAAACCAAGATTGGAATACAGCTTATTTTCCTTTGCAGATTTGGAGAAGATGTAAGCTCTCTGCAGTGGCGGACCTAGGGAACAAAGGGCCCCGGTGCAAGATTATTTCCCCCCCCCCCA